TATATGGCTTATAAAATTCTTAGTGACTAATAATATCATAAGCTACCAAGTTATACTTCCTTCTGTTTATCCATAGGATTAGGTCTAGGAGCATAACATCTGTCAGCTTTATATCATTTTAAGATTGGTAATCTGATTATTTTGTCTTTCATTTCTGTTGGGTGTTTACTTTCAAAGAGCTCATTCAGTTACAAATTATAATGAATCAATTCAAATACTTGTTAATATAAAAGATAACGTAACTGAAAAATACAAGGATAGATTTTGATATGGTGAGATATAGAAGCTCAGTTTCCATTATCAACTCTTCTATTCTTCTTCCATCTCCCTTGGATCACCACACCCTTCCCCTTACTAATCTCTGTGGCTTCATTCATGGTTCTGTTTGGATGGTGGCTGCAAGCAGTTTTAAAGTCCTAAGTTTATATCATTTTAAGGTTGATAAAATGATTGGACTATTCTGTTACTTTTCCTAATAGTTAATAGGAGTTTTAGGATTAATTCTGATTCATAGGACTTTGTCCATATGCTTAATCATAAATCAACCAACGTGGACAAAAGATAAAACATTCTCATGAGAACTAATTAATGCTTGAGCTAGAGGCCTGGATTCAAATTCTCCTTGAATTACATGGAAGACAAAAAAATTTTCAAACAAAAGCTGGAATACAATTATTAAAAAGGAGAGGTTTGACAAAGAGAACAATGTTGTATATATGGAACTCATCAGTATGCAACACCAAAATTGTTAATTTTATACCTGTGCACCCTTATACATCTTGAGAATGTTTGATTCATTGGTCCTACTTTCCTGGGTTCTATATACATGTGAAAACTTCACAATTGCTTAGTACAAGTGTTCCAATCCAATAGTTCTCAATTTCTGTTTTCAAAAGTTCAGTTTCCTATCAAGTAGAAAGATTTTAAGAAGAAGAAGAAAAAGATAGAGAACAGACTGTGCAAATACCCAGTTAGGGCTTTATTGCATAAGAGAAATAGTGGTGTTTGTTGATTGGGTCAAAGTTAAAACAGAGTATTTCTTGAGAAACTTTGAACACCTAATCATTGACTTCTTTTTCTTCCCCACTCTCAAATCCTTGAGAATTTTGTGTAGACAGCATTTCTCCACAAACACCTAATAAAAAGGGGAATAGGAAGCAGAGGTAGGGAATTTTAAATAGATTTCTGAGCTGCAGCCTGGTTTTTATCAAACTCACACTCTGATATTCATTAGCCTGCCTTGATGTCTTTTAGTTTTCATGAACATAAGATAGTGCTTACTTTAATGATTACAGAAAACGGGCTTGGTTTTGAAGCCAATAATAATTTTGAATCATTTAATCTGGATCTCATGTCTTCTTTGAAAACAACTAAAAGATTTGCTCAGTTCAGCCCCTGACTATTTACATGAACCCATGGGTTATGGTCACAAAGAGACCTAGAAATAACACATTGAAGTGAAAAAAATCTTTACGCACAAGAGAGCCCTCCCTTCATGTGGAAGAACAACCTTAGTTATTCTGCTTACACTGTACATTTTCAATGCATAAATGACTGATTTCACAGTCATTATTTGCCTTTACATTGAATGCAAATTTATGTGGCAAATATCCTAGGTATAGTTGATAATTAATGAGACAGAATAATAATTATTCCTTTTAAAGTATGCCTACATGTTATTACAAAATGGCTTAGTCTTGTCTGCTGGCAGATCTTATTTGTTTATATCAAGAAATCAAATACTAAAACTTAGAATTTTAAAAAGAATCCCAGAACCTAGTATATAATTAAGGCATTGAATAGAGTCAGGATATGTTGGTCAAGGTCATATATTTTTAGGAGAGTTTGACTGGGTGCTCCAACAGAGTTATATTCAAGGTATGATCAAAGTGGTAGATTAAGAAAGAGGGAGGATCCAGTTGAGGGTGTCTGAAAAATAATTTGGAGTTAGCCTGCTGGAAAAGAAGATGGGGGAGTCGGAAAGGAAGAGGGTATTCCAGGAAGAAACATCATAAACAAAAGAATTGAGCCACAAAACAGCTGGAGATGCCCTGAGAACCTCTAGCCTGGAAAGGCTACAGACTGACTGTAGGTGGGATGGGCAGCATTGAGGAGCAGTTTAAGATAGTGCTGTAAACAGGTCAGGCCATGGGCCAGGACTCTCGGGAAGCCTCATAGTTCACACCTTAAAGCATTATAGTCCCCTTATAGGGGTTAATAACAAGAGGAATGTGTTAAGTGTACATCTCTGAATGATATGGTCACATCCTCTCACTCCCTTTTGGATGCTTTCTTCTTTCAGACAAAATAAAATTTAACCCTTTAGCTCAGAGTGAATACCTTCTATCCCTCATGATGTTCCCTAAGGCATGGGAGGGTCCCAAGTCTCTATTACTAGAATTTTGTTGTGTTGTGCCTTCTGCCTAGAATCCTTCTTTTCACCAGTCAGATCCACACCCATTTGAAAAGACAACTCAAATGCCATCTTCTCCATAAAGATTTTGTTATTTCCCACCGCTTTTTCATCTTACACCGAGAAAACACATTCTTTTTCAGTCTTGCTAATAAAACACTTTTAAAAAAAAGTCTTCCTCAAGACATTTCTCATGCTCTTTCTTGAATCATGAGTAAGTATATAATAAATAACATATAACACATAGTATGTGCATATTCTGTATTATATATATGTCCATGCATTATACATAATATATGTTTTGAATCCCGTTACTAAATTGTAAGATCCCAGGTAGCAGGAATTGTCTATGCATTGTACCAGTTCTACTTGTAGCATATAGCACAGTGCTTGTACTTGGTGCTTAATTGAGAGGCAGGGCATGTTATCTCGTCCAAGAGATTATAGAGAGAAGTGCTCTGCAGACATTTTGCAGGGTTCTCATCAAGTTGGAAGAACCATTTCATGCTTTCTAGAATGACAGGTGAAATAGGTTAATTCTAAGGCAATTTTCAAGTCACTTTAGAGTAGTGGTCAGAATAAAACTGTGCCTTTTAAACCACTTTTCAAATTGCAGACACTTCAGAGATTACTTTCAAGAAAGTTCTTGCTTGGGTAAAGAATTTATTTGGTCAAATGGAATGAAGAAAACTATATAATGGATCAATGATTTTTGGTAACCGTTACACCTTTGAAAAGGTGAGGTAAATTGAATGTGCTTGTTTCTTGATAATTTGTGAAATTAGACCAACTCAAGTGTCTATACAAATTGAATATACTACACGTTGCCCACATTTTCTTGGATGCTAAAGTTTATAATATATTTTATCTTTGGAGCCTATATGTATATTTCAGTCTCTACTACTGATGCCAAAATTAAAAAAAAAATGATTTGGCAGTACCGCTCAATGGAAAATCCATTCTTGGATATGCTGGGACACAGCAGACACATGGGGCACGTGTGAGTTTAACAGACAGATTTAGTGGGCTGTTTAGCAGCAAAGAGATTAAGAAGTTAAACTCAGTAGTTTCGTAGACGCTGACGTTATTCAACTTCTGGTAAAAAGCATTGCATATGTTAAAAGTCTGGTTCGTTTTTTTAGTCATGTACAGTAATTTAGACACTTTCAGTTCAGCAGTTCTATATAATCAAAACCATATTCTTTGAATACTTGGAAAAATTATCAGAAAAAAGCAAGATCCAATGTATTCTACAGAACAAAACATTTCAATAAATTCTATGAGTTGGAATCTGAGAGACAAAGCATTGGAAATTTGGCAACATTACTTTTATTTATTTATTTTTTATTTTGAAATTAGCTCTAGATGAAATTTTCTTTTTGGGGTAATATTTATTTATTTATTTTTGCATTACCATTTTTAAAAATAGTTAACTGATTTCAGAAAATAAGTGGTTTTTGGATGGCTCTTGGAGACAAATTGTCAAAGTTTTTTATTATCTTGAGGAAATGTCACTAGCCAGCGGACAGGCTGTCAGTTATGGGAAAGTTTTCCAAACCCCACCATTTCCCAACGTCCCTTCCCTTGCTTTTCTTTCCATTGTGTTTTCTAATTAGACTTATTTCATTCTCCTACTCTTTCTGATTTAACTCAGTTTACTCTTGTGCTTTTCCTATCTGGCTTGAGTCAATTATATTTAACTATTATTATATTAGGAATTAATATAATAATATTAAAATTCTGTTGAAAACACTGAAAAGCCAAGTTATTTTGGCATTTCAAAATCTTTTCTTGTATTCGTTCTCTCTCCCTCCCTTTCTATTTCTTCAATTCCTTCTTCTTTCCTTTCTTCCATCTTTTCATGTTTTTAAGGAAATCTGGCAACAGTCTGTAGTTTGATTTCTTTAAGCTTCTAAGTGATTTACTGTACTAAGAAGGTTGTTTTGAAGTCACAAAGACACTTTTGACTTAACCCCAATAAAAGTAATACAAATGAAACATTCACTTTTAAACATTATTTATAGTATATAGTCTGTTTTAATTCCTATAGGACTTTGTGGTTGGAGAAGACCTAAAAGCTTTCATTTAATGTTTGAATGCTTTTATAAAAGATTTTGTTCATTACTACCATTGATTGACAATTTGCCCTATTGCAGAAGATCTTTTATGGGGCTTATAACCTCCATTGAAAGATCTTCCTTATATTGAACTTCAGTTTGTATTCCTATGTGTCTCCTGCCTACTCATCCTACTTTTTCTCTTGCAGTCACTCAGAATAAGCAATACTTTTTGTTCTTTTAAAAATAAGTGAGGCCGGGTATGGTGGCATAGGCCTGTAATACCAGAAACCAGGGAGGCTGAGGCAGGAGGATCACAAATTCAAAGCCAGCCTCTGAAACTTAGTGAGGCACTAAGCAACTCAGTGAGAACTTGTCTCTAAATAAAATACAAAAAAGGGCTGAGAATGTGGTTCAGTGGTTAAGTGTCCCTGAGTCAAATCCTGCAGTACAAAAAAAAAAAAAAAAAAAAAAAAAAAAGTGAGCACTTCAGATATTTTAAAATATCCTAGAAGTGTGCATAAAAACTGTCAAAAGTAACTACTTTTGTGAAGTAAGACAAAGGATGTTGATAAAGGAGAAAACTCTGAAAATTAAGACTAAAGACTAGAATTGCCTACACATTGATATATTACATTTATTTTCAAAGGACATTATTATGTCCTCCATTTATCATTTTTTAAAAAACATAAATACAGTTATTTTTTCAATTTTTTTCTCATATAATAATTATTTTAAAACCATATTTCTTCCTTTTTATTTTCTCTGCTCATATGGTACTCCTCTGTGAAAGGTATTTGAGTGTGGCAACCAGAATGAAACCAAAATGATTGATTTAGTTCATAGTAATTTAAATGTTATATGTGTATAAATCTCTACAGATTTACTCATATTTTAAAAATAGACAATATTTGACATATAGCCCTCATGAGAGCATCTAGTAAAATCCAACCTTAAAAATGCACAGAATAAATTATAAAAGTTACTAAAAGTTGAACAAAAAAAAGGACTTTAGTAGGCAAAAATTCTTAATAATATAGTATTTTCTACACAGAATGAAAATATGATTGTTATTTTTATGTTTTGGGTTTTCTGCCTGTGTCTATTAAATAGAGAAAAAAAATCTAAATCTATATTATTCTCAATATAGTAGAGTTAAAAATGTTTTCAAAGACATTCTTTTTCAAATAAAGTATTTTTTTTTTACTGGTTTTGTAATAAAGTCTACTTTTTTTAGCAGATGCCTGATATTTTAAAATTTTTTGATTTGACTATTTTGTTTGTTTTTCTCTTTAGTTTTGCTAACATATATAAAATGGTAGCATCTGAGATCAGAAAGACTAATATCTTTTAGCCCTTTCAAAAGATTAATGTTTTAGGATGAAATAAAGGCAAATGTAGAGTACTTACAAAGGCAATATCAGACTGTCACAGTCACAAAGGTAAAGAATCTACCACCTCAGCTCAGGTTGGCCAATCACCCTCTTCACAAGGCAGTGACATGGCAGTAAGCAAGGTCTTGGAACTCACACAAGGGTGTTTTATGGCAGGTTGTTGCAAGACAGGACTTTTGTGTTAATTGTTGACTCTGTGAGTCAATTCTGAGTCAGCTCCTGACAAATCTACATGGAATCTAATGAGAAGGCCCCATGGCATGAAATTACCCCAGGAGAGGAAGTTTGTTGATAAAGGAATTCTGAACTTTGAGTTTCAGGTCCAGTTCTAGCACTGACACTAGTTAGCTGGATGCCAGGAACCTCTCTCTCCAGTATCTTCATCTGTAAAATGAGAAGATTAAACTACATCAACAGGAAGCTTTATGTTTCTGAACTTTTGTGATTCTAGGGAATTACTGTGTAAAATCAGAAAGACTACATGTAGCCGGGAAACAAAACAAAATGTGCTATGTTGGTATATCAGCCACCCTCTGAGATCTCAACATTTCTGAAAAGGGATGATAGTCATAGTCATGAGCTGATTTCTTCTCTCTCTAATAGTGTGAAAGTTATGAAGAAGACATAAAACAATTAGAGATCAGCTATACAAACTGTTCAGAACACCAGACCACTGCTGCCTCATATTCACTAATTAAGTATAGTCTATTATAAAATAGCTCATGCTTGCAAAATTTCTCATTCAGTGTCTACAGAAAAAATGTAGGCAGAAGAGTTAAAAAGGATTTGTCTGTAAATATTCAGGATTGGAAATGGATAAAAACAGTTCTTAATGTTCAATAAGTCAATCTGTTTGTTAAAAAAAAAATTGGAAATTGCCAAGGAAGTCAATGTTCAAAATCCATTCAGTATTATGGAACATCGATTCTTAATGGGTTTGTTTTAAAATATGCAGTATTTTCTGTTCAATTAAGCATTTGTACTGATTTGGTTTCACCATTGGGAAGAAAAGTTGTAAATATCAAAGAAGGTGAGATGGAACCAACTGGTACCTCCCTTCACTATGGTTGAAACATAGTGAACTTCCAAATGAAATGCTTTAGAATAGAACTGTTCATACTATAAAATGAGATGGTCCTTACCCTGTTTGCAGAATTCTACTGGATGCAAAATTTTTTTGAAGAACTAAAAATAGTTTCAGATTTTGGTACAGAATTGTTCTTTTTATCTTTGCATTAAAGTTAAAAGCCATTAGCAAGCTAAATTTACTTGATTTCTGAAATATGAGATAATATATTTTATGAAAATTTCTTGTGCAAATCTTGAAAATTGAAGAATTATGCTTATTAAGAAAGAACATTAAAATAAATAGCACATTAAATGAGTGACCCAATTTATAATGACCATGGTTGCATATTGTTGGGGACATTTGCTTGTGATTAAACTTTGTTCTTTCATTCAACCTCTATCTGAGAAGACAAATCTTAATTTTTGGAACATGAACCAAGTTAAAGTAAGATCATAAATAATGCAACTGATTTTTATCATTCTCTGTTATCATGAATTCTTCCCATAATAGAAATTATTCTGAAGTAACAATTGAAGAACTCTGTGTGACTTGGTTTGTATCCTTCCCCACCCTCATGGTTGAAATAAGACTGGTAAATTCATGGGATTAGGCATTCCCACAAGACTGTAAGAGCTTCCTGGCTTTATGCTGGCCAGAAATAACACCAGGGAATGTTTTTATAATAATTCTACTTTTGGGTAAAAACAGGAAAGGGAGAGGCATGTTAAAATTAAATTTTTAATAAGGTGAAGAGAACCAAAAAAAAAAAAAAATGAGAAGTTTCCTTTCAGTTTTGGGAAAATATAAATTGACTTTGATCATTCTTGTTATGGACTTACCTGTTTTCGAATGGAAACATTATCCTGATATGATCTTAAGATGTTATAAAATTGCTGTTCATTTTTTTCCTGAAACTATGCTACCAGGCTAAGGTGACAATATTTAATGCACATCTCTGGCCTACTTATAATATTCACTTTGTTGGAAAGATGCACTCTGCCAACTGACATCAATTCCAAGATCAGATTCAATATTTTTGCATCATGTGGATTTTCCAATATTCTCAATTTTTAATTTTGTTATATTTCTCATCAGTCACAATCAACAGTTATCAAATATGCATTACTCATTGATCACTGCATTTACTATTTCAACATTCTGATTCTAGTGCATTCTAAATGACAGAAAAAGAAAACACCGTTAGTAAATACTACATTATTTCTTAAATTTCGAAGGGGAGAATCTAAATGAATCCTCAGGAGCAGATGACATTTTGCTTTTTTATGCTTTCCTTTTGGGTATCTGTTATCAGACAATAAACATTTTTTTCCTGTATCTGACCATCATGGTATTTCCCTCTTTTCCTTTTGAAAAAACATCAGCTTTCTTCTGACACTCCTGTTATCCTTTCTAACATGGCAATCTTGGGCTAATGGCATAAATCAGTAAATGCTTTTTCTTTAAGGCTTTTCTAATTTGTAATTAGAAAGAAAAGCTAGATTCTTACTGATTACCTACAGGAGTGTGACTCTCCATGGTTACCTGTCACTCAAAGAGCTCCAGCACTGAGGAATGCTAATTAGCCCTGCTAAAGCACCATAATTGAACTGGAGAGAGGATCGCTGAAAGTGCAGGTCTGCCTTCATTCACAACAGCCATGCCATCTGAATGGATGGAGCCATCCTGACAATGTAAAGAAATAAAGGGAGATGGGGAAGAAAAAGAAAAACAATGATATTCCATCTGCCATTTTTTACTCTCAGTTTTAAAATGATTATCAAAGATGTAACCTGGATACCATATAAATACAAAAAAAAATGTTTTCTTTAGCCATAAGAGAATGCGCCGTAGCACCTGTTTGACAATGATCTCCATGGTGGCGAATGCATTGAACTGTATAAAAATGAATCATCTGAAACAAATGGATGTACTGGGACATCAATGCAGATAATCATAGTGATAATAATGCATGCATGTTTTTATAGAAAACAGTATTTTCATTTATTTATTTATTCATTCATTCATTCATTTATATAATTGATCTTGCAGAAATGCTTGGTAAAAGAAAGTTTGGGGCATTATAATGTCCCTGAAACATATGCATATTAAAATTTAGACAACTTAAATGCAAATATAAGGTTTAGTTGAGAAAATCTTGGGCCGTCCCTTACAGTACAAAAGAAAAGATGATTGTGTTCCAAACAGGTTTCATCTTTTCAGCTCAATTCTAGTTATTAACATGGGAAATAAGCTGCAGACAAAATAGGACAGTGTAATGTTTCATATCAGCATAGAATCATGTTTTGGAACTGTAGAGACTGTAATTCTGTCTACCCTGGGGGAAGAGGATGAGGCAGGAAGACTGCAAGTTCCAGGCCAGCCTGAACTTGGTGAGACCCTGTTTCTCAGGATGTAACTTACTAGTAAAGTACTTCTGTGTTCAATTGCCAGTACCACAAAAGAAAAAGAAAATTAAATTTAATTGATTTTGAGAAAGAAGCAATTTGAAAATCAATCAGCCCTCAAAACCAAGAAGAAGAAACCAAGAGAACTCTGTTCTGCAACATGTTCAGACAGCATTTATATAGATAGGAAAGAGAAGTGAGGGCCACAGGCTGCTTTTTGAGTTATAGCTCCAAGTTTGCCTTCTTTGAACATGATCTGATTGGTTGGCTGCCTGTGTGAAGTGTACTGCTATGATTGGCTCAAACCCAGCTAGCTATCACAAAAGCTACACTCCTTACTTTAGACTTGCAGGTATTTTATGTACTAAGTTATTTTGCAGTTAATTATGTTGGGATTCAAAGCACAGAAGTAGCCTCAGGCCATATTTAGTTTAACACTAGAGCTAGGTTACATAGCCTTGGAAATTAAGACTTAGAAAATCTGACAACTAGCCCCAAACTAAAGGATGGGTAAAGCTCATAGTAGAATCCAAGTCCCTGACCCCAAGTTTATCATTTGGGGTATAGAATACTATGGCAATAGATAAAATGTAATTTGATTCTAAGATGAGGGATTGAGCAGTACAAGAGTCACAAAATCAGAGGGCTTTGTTTTGTCCTTTGCTATAATGCAGTATTTGCAATACTTTAAGCAGTGACTGATGCCCCCTATATATGTGTTGAATTACTAAATAAACAGGCACATTTTTATACAATTGGAATGTTTCAAATTACTTTCAAAATTGAAAATACTGAGCCACTCAGGAAGGTAATCCTTACTCTTCTTCTAAATCATCCTTCCTTCCTTTCTTTTCCCTTTTCTTGCTTTTTCATGTTAAGTGTGATTCAGTCTAGAAGTTACATTGGGTGTGGTGACTTTGACAAATGTCTTTTAAAAAATATGCAAATAAAATAAAGGCATCCTGTCCATCTACAACTATAAAAAAAGGAAAAATAGAAAAACAGAGGGGCTGGGGTTGTAGCTCAGTGGTAGAGTGTGAGGCATTGGGTTTGATCATTGACACTACACATACACAAATAAATAAACAAATAAATAGATAAATAGATAAATAAATAAAAATAAAGGTTAAATTTTTTAAAAAATAAAGAATAACAGGGAACCACTGTTATCCTAGCTTCCTTAGCCATGTGTTGTAGTCAACTGCTTCCTCCTTCAGAGAAATTACAACATGCTTAAAAAATGTAGATTGAAAGCCTTATAATATGAGAACAAAGAACCAACACCAAAAAATATGGTCCCAGTAAATAGCTACTCTATTTCAGGTAAACATATTATTTTATATATCTTAAAGCAAACAAATACTTTTGATATTATATGCACGCTTTACAGATGAGGAAACCAAGTTTCAAATGTGGTAAGTAATTTCCTGAAGGCCATAAAGTTAGTAAGTGAAAGACTGATCAGGGAAATCTGATCAGTTTTCCTCCCAAACCTTGTTCTTTCTACAGTACTGTGTCTCATTACTGGTTCCAACTTTGATCCTCTGGTCTCCTCAACATAAATCTTCTCAAATGATAATCATTTTTTTTTTTAAAGAATTCTCATGGAGCTGTGATAATTTGAATCAGACTGTGGGTGACATTACTTGTAGAGTGAGATGCATCCAACTCTTAGGGTGATCAGGGAAGACTTTTTTGAGATAGTTACTTTAGAGTTGAGACCTAAAGGAAGAAAGTGGACCATACAGGCTGCCACCTTGGGAAGAAGAATTCAAATACAAGGAACAAAGTACAAAGACCCCATGAAAGAAGTAAGATTTGTGTGTTTGAAGAACATATAAAAGGGCCAAATACTAAGAACAAATCCAACAGGGCACAGGGACAACAGAAGATGAGGTCAGAAAGACAGATCACTCAGTTTTTGTAAATGAAGGAATTAATTGTATTTCAAGTGTAGTGGCACACATGAAAGACCTAAGCAACCTCATTTTACCCTGAAACTTAACCTCTGACCTACTGCAGTCCTAAAGTCAGGAAATACCACAGAAAGCTCTGTGCAAAGCAAATGGTGATTGCCTAAGATAGGCCAAGATACTGAAATATCTGAAATTCCAGATGGCCCCCACCTAGGTGTGGTGATCAATATCTAAACCAGAAGCCTTGCAGCTTGGCAGTACCCCCCTTGTGACACCCTCATGGTTTAAACCAATCATTTTTAAGTGCGTCAACCCCTTGAACTGACCAATAATCCTTTCCAGATTCTTTCCCACCACTTGATATGCTAATCATGTTTTAGAGTTGTTTTATGATTTCCCTGCGGTGTGTGGGTGTGTGATGATTTGCTAAGAGATGTTATGATGTATGTGAAGTCCCTGCCTTCCCCAAAGAGTGTATAAAACTGCCGCAAACCCTGGGCTGGGGCCTCTCAGCGTCACCAGTTGCTGTGTGCAGAGAGACCCAGTTAGCTCGCAATAAACACCTCTTTGCTGCTTATAGGATCTTGGTCTCTGGTGGTCCTTTGGGGGTTCCGAACTAGAGCATAACACACAAACACAGAGTTTTAATCTTATTTTTTAAATCAGGGATGAGCCATTTATACTTTTAAAAGATCACTAAGAAGATAAAAAATTAGCAAGAGGAATAGCAAGGGATCCCGCTGGGAAATTCTCCCAACAGTGGTGGCCACCTCTGGAGTTTCAGAGGTGGAGAGGGTAGGAAATCACCCATTCAGGATACACATCAGAGGCCAAGCTGACCTGATTTGGGGATGCTGGGAAATGAGTATGAGAGGAAACTGGGACTTAAGGATGTGAGATAATGGTGTCAGCCTCAAAATGGGTGGATGGTAGTGCTATGTACCAGATCATAACTGAGGAAGAAAAAATAATTGAGGACATATTAAGATAGTGCTTTTTGGATAGACAGTTCGATACATATTTTAAAAAGGAATAAAGGAAGGATAGAGATGCTGTTAGGTTTTGGTCATTCAATGAATACTTCTCTGTGACAGTTTGAAAATAGTGATATAACAATGTAGAATGTGGCAACTGTCAAACTAAAAAACAAAAAGCAGACTCATAAAAAATGGCAAAGTATATCAATACCATCATTCAAGAAAATTTATTCATGGAAAGAAAGGTTAAATGATTGGAAAATGTCCTCTCAAGGTCATTTGCGAAGGCTACAGAAGAAAAAAGAAAGAGCAAAGAAAGACTTAAAAATGTGGTAAGTGGGCCATTCACCACACCTCTTCCCACCTGGTTAGTAAGAATTCCTGTCTGTCAAATCTGCATTGTTCATGTGAATGGAATGTGGCAAAGAGACCAACCCTTTTATAATATCCTTAACTCTGTCTTTCACTCTAACATTTGGCTTTTGGTCAAATTACTTACCACAATTGTTGAAAATAATGTTTTGCAGCATCTTCTTTCAATTTGTGTGTGTGTGTGTGTGTTTATGTGCATAAAGGTGTTTTTATTGTCTTCCAGTAGTAGGTTCTATCATTTTTATTAGAGCAGATTGAATTTTAGCTTCTTTAATAAACATGAGTGTCAACACATATAATCTTGATTAATCACCAACAACACCAGAATTTAAAATTTGTGCTAAAATTGGTGAGAAGCTTTTTGCTGAAATTATTCATTAAAAACCTTTTTCACTTCTGGGGTTTTGCTAGAGAATTTCCTAGCCATTATTTATATTCATCTACCTTATCTAATTATTATTTTCTTCCTCTTGCCTCTAAAACTTAAATATTTAATTTCTACTCTATTCATCTTTCTTTCTTCCTTTTTTTTTTTGGATACTTTGTTTTCATCTGTGTTCAAGTCTCCCAAATCTTTTCCTGAAATGTGTTTGAGTGAAGCATGGGATAAAGTGGAGTCCAATAGTAGACATGTTTAGGGACAAATGTCACATTAGCACTTGTATTTTCTCTGTCTGTATGATGCAGATGTTGAGGCTACAAGCTGGGTGCTGTGCGCTCAGGCAATTCATGTCATTTCTTGTGAACTGAATGTGTACAGATCATCAGGTTATATATGAGTCACAAATGGTTCTAACATTCAAGATGTATACATGGTGCATCATTCCATCATTTCTGCTGTTTGTTTACATGATGAATATGTCCACCCTCCTTTCATATTCCTAACCGCCTTGAACTGTTTCTCTGATCTTCACTATCACAGAGGAAATTGGGACCCATGAAATTAAGTGATACTCCTAAGATTAAGGAGGCTGAGAAACACAAATGACACTAAAAAATAAGCCCAAGCCTATTGAGAGAGAGGGGTGAACACCTCTAGTTTCCGAAATTAAGAGTATTTAATGTAACCACTTATTATCTTCATGTATTCCAAATTTATTATATTTAGAATTAAAAACACATGAATAATCATCAAAATAAAGTATCTAAAAAATTTACTTTCTTTTTTATGTATATATTTTTTAGTTGTAGATGGACACAATACCTTCATTTTACTTATTTATTTTTAGGTGGTGCTAAGGATCCAACCCAGTGCCTCACATGTGCTAGGCAAGTGCTGTACTACTGAGCACCAACCCCTGCCCTGACTTATACTTTTTGACATTTAAAATTGCTTTCTGTTGGCAGACATCGTGACCATCCCTTGACATCTTCCACAGTAGAAGTAAAGATTGTATTTCCAGTTTTCCTTGTAAGTAGAGTGACTGAATTCTGGACAATAAGATGTAACTAGGTGTAATGTGTGCAGTTTCTGGGTTTAAGGAGATGGGACATGTTGTTCCCTTCTTTACTTCTTTCTGATGGTAGAGATGTGACTTAGTGGTGAGTCATTTGAGACCTTATGAATGAAGCCAACTCCTTAGGAATGGCAAGAATGACTGAAAAGTATTTGAGCTTCTCATGATTTTTTGGAGTACGGCTACTGTTTTAGTTAGCTTTCTGCTCCTGTGACTAAGATACGTGACCAGAACAATTCAGAGTAGGAAAAGTTTACTTTTACTCATGGTATCAGGTGACTCAGTCCATACATGGCTGATTCCATTGCTCTGAGCTCAAGGTGAGGCAGAATATCATGGAGAAACGCAGGGCAGAGGGAAACTGGTCCCTCAAAACAGCAAGGAAGCAGGAGTGCATGAAGGGGCCATACCCTCTTGCTCTTCTGGGGCACATCCCCAATGACCCACATTCTCCAGCCACACTCCACCTCTCTACATTTACCACCCAGTCAGTCCATTCAAACTAGGATGAGTGACTACAGCTCCTGTAATCCAATCGTTTCACCCTGAACATTACTGTATTAACATAAAAGCTTTGGGGGATACTTCATATTCAAATCATAACAGCCACAAAGAAACTCAGACCAATGTATAATATCAAACCATTCCATTAAAATGGTGTAAAATTCAGACAATTTAATTTTTGAAATTATGATTAAAAAGTATTTTTTTAAAACCCTCTAAAATGTTGAATTCAGTCTTGTGTCTTTGCATAAGTCATCCTAGCTTAAGCTATGTTGTCTGTGTTACCTATGAGAGAGGAATTTATATTTAGGTAAACAGGAAATGTTTTAGCTCTTCTTAGAGGTTAGTTTGCATTGTACACTATAGAAGTAGTAACATGTTGCTATTAAAAAGTTATTTTGGCAGCAAAAAAATTATTTGAGGTGAAAGTACTCACTGTAAAACCCATATTTTGATATTAGGAATCAGAAGTAGTTATAAAATAATTTTGTTGTGCATTAGACAATGCCTTACCTTTGGAAGATGAGAGTAGACACTTGATATGGCTGAAGAATATACCTCAGACTTTCTTGAATTTTATTTAGAGATATAATTTTTATATAAAGCATATAAATTAGCAAGATAAAAAATATTAGGTAGCCTTAAAGACCCTTAATGAGAATAAATGCATGAATGAGAATGGAGAGGGATGGACAAAAACAGGAGATGCTATAGCTGCTGTGGGGCCCACTTGCTAGTTAAGCACCTCATTCCACCCGTCATACCTGGAAAGTCTTGGTGCCATCAGATCCGTGTTGTAGAACAATTACAGGTTGCTTTGTGTCATCGATGTTAGAAACTGCTTGAGAATTAAAACCTTGAATCATAGATGTTTGAGGCCAAGGGTCTGCTCTGTGGCATTTTGTAGTTGGTTCTGTTTGATCCTCTGGGGAGCATTTTACGGCAGATGCCATCTAATGATGCCTTTAGTGATTAAACCAGACATACCCAGGATACTCTGAGGCAGAAATGGTTCTGTAAATGTAATAAGACACAACCATGTTAGGTTACAAGCACCAGTTGGGCCTCCTCAGTAGCAGCTGGTGAGATTTCCCTCTTGCTCACAGCTGTAAAGGTAGATAGTTAAGCCTGTAGCATTAAAGTGAAGGGTGTAGATAAATATTTTGCTTACAAATGTATACCCTCAGTGAATCTGGAAACTTACTAGTTAGCTGTAACTGCTAGTTGTCAGATATTGACCAGAAATTGATAGTGAATAAGGAACGTGGGGATCTTTAAACAATAACAAACTACAGAAGTATAACTATAGCACTGTGATATGATAATTGAAGGGCTCCAAACAGACACAGGTCAGGTCTGGTTCTGATTGGAGGGGATTGGCATAGGTCTCCTAATTAATGTAGGTATCATTAACTATGGAACAAGGTTCAAAAACATGCTAAGTACTCAAAACAGATTATCTCATTGATTCTTTCTCTATTTATTTATTTTGCAGTGCTAGGAATAGAACCCAGGGACCTTTATGCTGAGAAAGTGCTCTACCATTGAGCTACTTTGCCAGACTTTACTGAGTCATTAGAGAAACTCTATGAAGTCATTGCCATCGTTGTTTAAAAAAAGAAAGTGAGATTTAGAGAGTTTTAAATATATTACCTCAAATTACATAATTAACAATTGGCAGTGCCAGAATACAAACCCAGACTTGTCTGTCTTCCAAGTTAATACCCTTAATATGAATTATCAATGTATTTATTAACAGAAATAATGACCATATACTATTTAAAAAATTGAATCAATGTGATGCATATTTTAAGACAAAGTAGCAAAATGATCTTATATAGCAAATATCATTTTCAAGTAAGTAGTTGCATCTATTTAATATACACTGAACTTCTTTAAATCTCCTTTACCAAAACCTTTCAGACACATCAATGGGTTCCTGATTAGCTCTGCTGTTCCCATGGAGATATTCACTTGCTCCAGTGTTCCTTCAGCAATGGATCACCCTCTGCAGTCTCCACAGCTATGCGATGTCCTTAGGTGACTGAAGGCATCTGAAAGGGAAGAAAATGCAACTATTTGCATCTTATCTAATACTTCAGCTAATATAAATGGTCCGGAGTTAAATACATATTTGGAAATAGAAGTTGGAATTGAAATCACCCTTGGAGATCGAAATAATGTAGCTCAAATGATGTTCAAGATTTATTTGCAGGACTAAGAGATTTAGAGAAGAAAGAGAACTGGGAGAAAGAGAGCAAATGTAATCTTTTGTAGGATATTATGGTAGATATATATTAGTTTTAAAAATAGGTGGAAAGGTTTTTTGGCAATCAAAATTGTATGACAGGGCTGGGGTTGTAGCTCAGTGGTAGAGTGTTTGCCTAGCAGGTATGAGGCACTGGGTTCAATTCTCAGCACTGCACATAATTAAACAAATAAAAATTAAAGGTCCACCGACAACTAAAAAACAAATATTTAAAAAAAATTCTATGAGAGACTCAAATCAATAATAAGCTGTTTAAAACATAGGCAAATTGATAATATATCATATTATTGCCTCTATTTCTTACATATTCAAATTTATTTGTAAACTGGATTCTGAACTTTTTCATTTAGTAGATTTCAGTAATACATTTCATTTTTCATGGTTCAAAACATTTTAGGAACAACTTCAGAGAAAAGTCATGAAGAAAATTGAGGCAATAGGTATGACTTCAGTTGAGCTTTCCCAAATAAATTGCTTTTAAAAAGAAATCACTTATAAAATAATTGATTATATTAGATTATTAACAATATTCCCTTACTTTATGACATTTGTTTTATTTTAATTTTGTGTTACACTGAAGATTGAACCCAGAGCTTTGAACATACACTCTGCCACTGAGCTCCACCTTTAGCCCTGTACAATTTTCACTCTTCATACATGACATTTATCTTAAGTATCGTTATGAACTTGACGATTCAGAACAACACAAGAATTTGAATACTTCCTGTGAACTAATTGGCGATTTGGGTCTGTATTTCTCTTTCATGTTGCTGTGGAGAGAATATGCTGTCCCCTCATTTTTAGGTTGTTGCTTTTCAACTGCTTCTGTGTTCTCTCTCCACAGAAGCTAATAGTGTACACTGGAGAAGTACTATAGTTCTTAAAATTTGAACATGGTCTGTGGATTTTCTAATATAAGTCTAATATAAGTAAAACAACAGAAAATAAATGTCAAAAATTAAAATCTCTAACAATAAAATCACTAAGAGAATTACATTACAAATAAGACAGCTAATCATTATATTCTTACCAGATAACATGTGTAGTAAAAATTCAGTGTCATCAGGGTACTGCTAGAGGAAGCAAAGGTTATTTTCACTTAAGTAAAGGAAGAAGATGCACAAAGGTTGGATTGTTTTCTGTAGTTTCTCATTGAATCGACAGAACAAAAACCAAATAGTAAAGATTCTGACCAAGTGCTGGAAATTCTATCCTTGCTAAGCTTGGCTGCCTCCAAAAAATGACAGTTCCACTCAGCAGTCACTCATTTTACAAGTCAAGAAAATGAGGTAGAGTGATGCTATTTATGTAGAACTACGTTCTATCTAAAAGCAGATAAGGTAGACAGGTGACCCAGTGTTTACCTTGGCTTTCTGCAGAGCAGTTGCTAAATTCATGAAAATATATCCTCAGAACATGTAGCCTTCCCTCTGCTGAGCCCTGCTGATTACTTTATAAAATACCTTCCATGTGGGTGTAGAGGAAAATTCTCCAGCATGGCATTAAGTTGCAAACCTGGCTGAGCCAAATGCATTAGATTATGAGATGTGAGAAGGAAAAATCTATTTAGCTAATAAAGTTTCTGCCTATAAGAGTTTCTCTGGCATCTATAACTAATTGAATAATGTCCCCTGACTTCTTCTACTGAGACATCTGAATAACAGCTCCCCTGATTTCAAAATATTGCTTATAATTTTTCTGCCAGCATCCAGAATAATAACTGTATTTGGTTCTTGATTATGATCAGTTTTACTCATTTATTTGGGGAACACACAAACACAAACACACACACACAATGTGTATGCACATACAATATTTTGTGAAAAATGTCTAGAGATATATAAAAATAGATCCCCAAATGTTAATTATTGGGTTATTGAATAGAGTTGATAATGTCGGTTTCAAAGAAAAATTAAATTGTACTTCTGGATCAAATGTGTGTTATCATAAAACTGATATAATTTGATTTAAATATGATCCTCAATCTAAGAATTCTTTAATATTGTTAGCTTTTCATATCAAAATGTTATTCCTATCTCTTTTTTTGGGTACAGAATTAGTCTGGAGTGGAAATGTATCCAATTATAATTATGGTAATGAACACTGAGATTGAGTTCACATTGAAAGGAAATGAAGTTAGAAAGTAGTGCCAGGTGAAAACCTAGAACTAACCTTATCTTACTAATCCTGGCAGAATCATGTCATGGACCCCACAGAGTTGAGTGGGTGCTAGTGTTATGGGCATTGCATAGGTTTCCAAGGGGGAAATTCAGAGTATCTCACTTGAGTAAATATCTGTATAAGAGCATATGCAAGTAATTCATCCATTTGAATAAATTGACGGGAAGTTGTTAACTCAGCCAAAATGGTGGAATCCATTGTGTGGTCAGCAAAACCTGAAAATCTTCCAATGTCATGTTTCAGGACATTCAGAGCATCACTGTCATTTAAGCTGCCTAATTTTTGTATGGGCATGGCAGTGGAAAGAGGTAGCAGAGAAAAAAATAGATGAAATATCTTGGGCAGGATGGGGAAAGACTTAATAGTTGATTATGAGGACCATTGGCTGTATTTTCTGGAAACTAAGGAGAAGGTGATTTCCAAAGACATTCTGGTTCTACTCTTAGTTCTTTTTGTCTGAAATTTTAATACATCTCAGCTATTCAGAACACTTAGCAATTAAACATATTTTGTTTTGTTACAACTTTGGAATAATGTTTTTGATTGTTATTTAATTTTTTTAATTGAATTTTTTAATCATTGGTGATGACTTCCAGTTGTAAACTGTTCTCATTGCTGTATTTTGCTTTAAAATCCTTATAATATCTTCCAAGTGCCTTCACAGTATAGGAGTTCAAAGTTGTAATAAAACAAGTATTTTTAAGGTTATGATTTGTGCCTTAAAATTTCAACTTGATTAAAATATACTGTGCATGTTTGGTGTATTGCTGAAAGTAGCATGTAGCACACATTTTCAAAATTAGGAAAGGAACACACAGGGTGCTTGATATTCATTAGGAAACCGATTTCATTTTTTAAAATTAAACTAAGATCCTATTCAAGTATATTAAAAGGTGCTAAAGAACAGGATTAATGTAATAGTCTTAAAGAATAGAAACATAAAAATAATTTGGGTCACTAAAAATTGAGTGTCTTTTACAGAATTAGCATTTTTTTTTCTGTGTGAAACCTTTGGTAGAAATATAGCTTCTACTTTTTGTTCCATTTGGATAACTGGCATCTTAATATACATGGATTTGTGGCCAATTAAATGAGAATCTCATGTGTAGGCTAAAAACAATTAATGTAAAGTGACTGTGAATTTTAAAATTTATTGCTGACTCATTGTAGTTTCTCTATATACATTTTAAAAATAAATGGAAGGAATGGATGGGTTAATATTAAAAACCTTGAATAAAGGATCACCAAATTCTAAGGCTTGGGGTGATATGTGAAAATAGAAACTCAGTTGAAAATGCTTTCCTTAGTGGTAATTAGGAGAATGTCTCTTTCACTTTCATTATTTTTATGCAGTATTTGATAAATAAAATAGAATATACATATCTCATATTTACATATGGCAAAAATGGAAAATTTTGAGTATGTTTTCTAGAGAGATGGGCAGATAGAAAGTGTGTTCCTGGGTGTGTTGAACCAGGCATATATCTGAAATTCTAGTCATAGCTGGCTTTTGCAGTTTCCTAAATATACCATTTGCTTTTGTGGCTTCAGATGTCCTATCATGACTATCTCTTAGTTGTAGATGTTTTCTCCACTTTGCAAGCTCTCATTTCTCCTTGAAGTACAGCCCAAATATAACCTTCTTTCTGAAATTGTTTCTTGACCCTACAGGGAGAATTAATATCTTCCTTGTGTATATTCCCACACAGAATTTTGCAAGTGCCTGATCAAAAAGGATTTATCTTATATCCTACTTTTGGAGTTTGTCTGCATTTCCCATGGCACTGTAAGTTTCTCAAGGTCCAAATGATAATCCTCAGACTACTACTTTGATATATTGAAGTAGAGAAAAGCAGTATCTGATTAGGATTAATAGTGAACTCAGGGAACAATTATGTATTTTTAAGAGAGACACTTCTGTAAAGGAAGTTTAGAAAGGTTACAAACAATTCATGAAGAAAGAAATATGAGAAGACAATAAATATGTTTAAAAATCATTGATCTCCCACAATCAAAGCCAATCATTACAAATAAAAATACAAATTGGAAACATTAAAAAATTATAATAGCTTGTGTGGAACAGGTGTGGGGAAGGCCCTTCTGTACTCTACTGGGGCTACAATACATCTGGAGAGCATTTTGATGACAAATATTATAATCTTATAAATATAATATCTTTTGTCCCAGAAATTCTGTATCATAAGGAAATTATGAACATTGAGTTTTAGAATAAAATAATACTGGATACACCATCAAAGGTAAAAAAAAAAAGTGAGATAAGTTACATAACAAGGGAAGTAATATGCAAACATTAAAATGCTAACACAGAAGAATGTTTATTAACATAAAAATAGGGAATATTGAGAAAACAGTAAAACACAGCACTTACTGATGTAAGATATGGGCATTATGATCCCATTCATAATATCTCTCCACCTATCAAGAATAATACAGAAAAATTGATCGTATAGTAAAATGCAACAATTAATTTGGAACAGCAACTTCTACATTTTTCAAAGTATCTACAATGAATATTTGTCACCGTCTGTCAATAGAAATATTTGATAAAACTAAAATAAAAATAAAAATCACTCAAGTTAATAATACAACAGGAAAGTGGACTTACAGGTCTTTGGGGCTGAGGAGATGACCACAGGGTAGGGCCCAACCAAGTGTCCAGCAGTTAGGAGAATTGGTTACATATAGAGAGATTGAGCAGGCAAGTAAATATATCAGGTTCTTCTAATGATCACTTTCAAATTTTGTATATTTGGCAGAAATGAGGCAGAAATGATACTGGATTATTCTTATCACATCCTATCAGAGTTCTCAAAATGTCAGCTTGTCCCATGATAGTGATGTTGATTTTGATCACTTGATTCAAGTGATCCTTCTAGTCTTCTTCGTAATAAAGTTAAAGTCTTCTCCTTTCAATTAAAAATTTTGTTGAACTATCTTTTGACTTAAGTATCCCATTCCTAATCTTCCAATTTAATTAATTAATATTAGTGTACATTCATGGATTATTTTATTCAACAGATTATTAACTATTTGGATTGTTATCATATTTTCAAGTTCATATTAGCTTAGATTTTGCCAGTGGGAACCTCTTCAAGCTGATTTCTGTGTCTTTTTTTTTAATTTTTTATTGTTAGTTGTTCAAAACATTACATAGTTCTTGATATATCATATTTCACACTTTGATTCAAGTGGGTTATGAGCTCCCATTTTTACCCCATATACAGATTGCAGAATCACATCAGTTACACATCCATTGATTTACATATTGCCATACTAGTGATTTCTGTGTCTTTATGTTATGTTTCCATCATATTTTGGCTACTTCCTTACTTGCTGGCAAAACTAAATGTCTCAGGCTCATCTGTCACTTTTGTTGTGCCGATGCTGGAATCTGCCATTTCTGCAGGTAGCTATGAGAACCGCTGTGTTTAGAAACTGAGATCTGACAGCTGGCTGTGTTCATTGCAATGAGGACACTACACTGCTTTTCCCATTGCCATATCAATAGACAAAGCTACATCAGTAGACAAAGCCAGGGAATGCTAGGTATATACAAATATGCATTAATACATATATACACATTTTTACCAATAGTTCTGCCCACATATACTAAAATGAACATGAGTTCACACCAACATTCCCAATTTCAAATCAATACCAGTGTTTATTTTATTTGTTTACCTCTTCCATACTTGTAACTCCTTCTCTAACATTAGCATTATCATCATCATCAATATATTTACTCATCTCATCAAGAAACTATCTATAACTAATCTCTTATTGCTAGCCCTTAACCTTGCCTATATATCCCCCTCATCCTACTCAGATATAAAACATCTTGAATTAAGGCCTCTTCTGAATGTACCTTCACCCCCATGCCCATCAAGGACAACTTCCTCCTCTTGCTCAGCTCCTATAATCTCACTCTGGGCTACCAATGTTTCTGTACCCCTACCTCCCAACCTATGCCTAACTTTCTTGGCCCCTTGGTATTTAGATTACAGTGTATGGGAAAGAAAGGGGAAGGAAGAAAGGGAAGAAAAAAATAAGAGAAAAGAGAGAATAGGAGAGAAGAGGAAATGAAAGGAGAAAAGCAAGAAAGAAGCCTTGATATTCTTATTTTGAAATAGAAAATATTAATTTCAAGGATTTTTATCTAAGTAAAGCAAGATTCACATTTACACTGAAGAAAATAATTGCATAACTTTATAATTTGATATATTATTTATCATCATAATCTGTCCATTTATATATTGTCCATTTTTACAATATATTTATGAAAATATATGTTAAATAATTAGGCCCATGTCATTTAGACAGGTTTCATAAAATCAAAATCAATAAGCATTGTATGCATTTATTAAATGTTTATTAAATTATAATTTTAGAAAATTTTGTATATTCATTTTGAAACATTCTGTAAAATATTACTACTTTATGGAAATTTTATGTCAAGTTTTAAAAAATGTTGCTCCTAGTATATTTAAAGTGATTTTTAGGTAATAAAAATTACTAAGGCATGTTAAAATGACTTGGATGCTTATCAAAGTGTATGACTGTGTAACTTAGGAAAGTTCATCTAATTATTTTATCTAATAAAATGTATTATTCACCTAATTACATACTTAGAATTATTTTAATATAACACATACACAATATTTTAAAAAATTATTTTAGCTGCATAGTACCATGGGTATATTTTGTGAGCTAATCAATATTGAAAGCAATATTATTCAGACTGTAAGTTTTGACATAATATTGTGGCTCTCAGTAGCATTTAATTAACAAGAATAGAATAAATTGCATGAAGAAGGCATATGTGTTGTTTCATGAAATTTTGCCTTTAAATAAATGGATATGCATGCACCTCTTTGAATTTATCTACTGAAACACAATATAAAATATTTCTTATCAAAATAATTTCCAAAATAATTCAAAGTCACTGACTCAAATCATAATAAACAAGTTTTATAAAACATCTTACATGAATGAAACTTCCCAACAAATAAAAAAATACCAAATATGTAGAGAAATTTAATACATAAATGTATTGAGAGTTATAATTAAAGGTAGTCTGTTTTCTCAGTATTAATGAACTTTCACTGAGCATTGCCCAATAAGTATTTCTGGAAATGAATGCTCTTTACCTCCAGTTGCTCCTAGTGGGAACATTGTGCTTTTGCCCTTGGAGTAGTGCCCTGATGGTATTCCTTATTGCCAATGTTAGCTGCAGAATGAGCAAAAATGAATCTAGAAAAAATACAGTTATTTTTGGGTAATATTAAAAATGTTCTTGGTTTCATGGGTGCCCAAAACACTCCTCCATATTCCTAGTCCCTATTGAGTTGTCCTTACTCAGTTAAACAGAATCAGCACTCAGAAGACTTGGATTTGGTATGACTTTTGCAATTCCACTGGGTGAGACCACTCTGGGCGACATCCTCCACATGGCCTACAGTGTACAGAGGAGACATTCTTTAACACAGGTGCTGAGATTATTGTTCCACAGCTACTCGGCCACCATGGGAAACTACCAAGAAAACAAAGGAAAGTCTAGCTTCAGACATTCATATAAGCTAGATCTCAAAGACTGTCATTAGTTCAACTATTATACGAGGACAAGGGCATTCCAGATAAAGACACAGAAATACGTGAAGGAGTTATGTGTTTAGAACATACAAGTATTTTCTGTGCCTAGAGTTTGGGTATGTGGTGGTGAGAGGCAGAGGCTGAGTTGGTAAGGTAGGGATCTAAACAAAATCAAGTAAGTTCTTTTTAATTTCAGAAGTGTTTCCTTGGCAGTTGATATATACCTCTCTTATGGTATTTATCACATGATCTCATATTTGCCTGTTTATCGATATAATCACATTGTGAAGTCATTGTGATCCTGGTTATTTCTTCCTCATTCCTCTCTCCTTCAATATCTAGTTCCCTGCCTGGTATAGAGTAGGTTCTTAACAATATATTTGGGCAGATGGACAAGGAATAAGACTTTGCTATTAACGGGGTTGATTTTAGAAGCTCTCTTGAGTTCCTTCTTCAGAAATATGGCTTCATGGATCTGCTGTTATTAGGGTGTACATTGGGAGTTGTTTTTAATCTTCTCATAATGATATGTTTATTCCAGTCATCTAGACTTCCATGTGAAGTAATGCTTTAAGATTGGGTGTCTGTTAGACAGCTGGCCAGTTAAGGACAGGGTTCCCAGCCAAGGAGCAGCTCTTCCCCTGTGAGGATAACTTATTCCTCCAGGCAGAGGTGGAAACCAAGCTGACCTTGGCCTCATTAGTAGACTGCCCTAACCAACTGAGCTAACCAGCCAGACTACAAAGGAGGCAGGAAAGAAATCTAACAACATAGATGTTCACTTCACAAGGTGCAAATACAGCCTGTACGCACATACACAAACTGGCTTGACTGTTTTGACTGTCAAGTTAGTCAAGAAAATATTTAAGCTAGTCAAAACGCAGTCAAGTTAGCCAAGATGCCTGTCTGATTTTTTTTTTGTCTTGACTAGACTTTGAGTGCTGATTTGACTGGTTTGTGTTTGTAGAAACAGTCACATTTTTCTTGCCAAAAGAGGATTTTTTTTCCACTGAAACTTAATGAAATAACTGTTACATCATATAAATTCACTTCCTTAAGAATATGTGTCAGACTATCAAATCAGTTAAGGAAAATTCTCATCTTTTTTTCTCTTTGAAATTATGGATGGGCTGGTTTTGTTCCAAATTAAGTGAATTCATAGTGCCATCTAGTGTTCAAAATAGAATTATCAGAACAACTATGGAGAAATTTAGAATCAGGCATTGGCTGTGAAAAAACAGCACAGTCCATTCTATTTGAATGAGTCACTGGCTGGTTCTGGCTAGCATTTTCTCTTTTTGGATTACTACTTGTAGTCAATTGGGTATTGAAATTTTATTATGCTTACTGTTGTGAGAAATCATTGACTAACATATAGCTTGCAAAGAATGCCCAAACATAACCAGAACATGTCCCTTTTCTTTTAAAAGTAGTAAGGATGAAATGAATACACAAATAAAAACAAACAACACAGCCCAAGATAAATGATAAAACTTGCAACCCACCCAAACACGATGATGTGAAATATAGAAATCTGAGGGCAGGTATTATTTTATGTCATATAATTCTGAATTACCTATTCTTTGAATGTGTTTGCAGCTAAGACACAAAGCAGAAAAATGTTCCCTGAAGAGAAAAAAACAGCTCACAGACATGGAAGGATTACTTTGTTCCCACTTCAAGTAAACAAAGAAGCATGTGTTTATCAAACAGCTCTGTCTTGAGTGTCCTCCATTCTTGTATAAAATTGTACTTACATTTTTCAGAAATTTTATAAAAATTTTATGAGGGAAATAAGCACAGTCAACATACTCTGAATTTGGGACCATTTTTGATCAAGGCACAAAATATGACGTATTTATAATTTGGGGGAATAGAACAATAATAATATTTAAATTTTTCTGTTACATTAAAATGTTAAAAGAACCTATTTAGGTCATTTCATCTGCCAGCAACACTGTAGTATGATAAGCCCCATCTTACAGTGAATGGCAGAATTGGCATCCAAAATCTATCTCCTATCCTGCCCTGTTCCTGTTCCTTAGTGCAGTTTTGAGAGCTCATATGTGAGACAGTAAGAAAAGGATCGGGTACTGGAAGTAAGTGAAAGGGGAGGAAGAATAAAGTGCACTGGACAGAGGGAGGGTTGCTTAAACCAGGCAAGCCAGGCCAACCTGAGAGCTTTATGCAGAGTTTATATGAGTCTTTATAACTCAAAAGGTCATACTTCTCTAAAGAATACAAGAATAATTATAACAATTGTTAACAATCTAACTTGAATGAAATATCCTTAAATGGAATATTAATCATCATCACATATTTTTTAAAAATCCCTAGAGAGTTGATAAACTTCAGTATGAAGACTCTTTAACATATTGAGTAGTTTCACCTGACTTACAGCTAATCTCTCGAAATCAAAATTTTTTTCCTTTTCCTCTCCATTCTGATTCATTTCAGAGCATTTTTGTTGTTGTTGTTTTAATAGTTAGAGCTACAAAGTTGTATTTTTTAAATGCTTTGCAAAAATACTAAAATAATAAAAATTTTAAATGTGATAAAATTAAGTAGAGCTTTGTTTTATTCATTATAGACTGGCTATTGATGTACTCAATTTAAAGTCATTTTATTATTTTCATGAATGTTTTAATAGTTGTTTCTATCGACACCCTGATTGCCCATCCTAAGAGAAAATATTTTCCCATTGTAGTATTGCGTTGCTGTGGATGAAAAAAAAAACGCTTAAATGTTAAAACATTTATGACTGAGTCTACCTGCATTATCAACTCATCACCACTTATTGGTAAGCAATCACCATGCCTGTTGGCTAAAAATGCTATGCCAGAAGTGGTAAGGCTCACGCTGACAGCCGGGACTGGGCTGCTACTAGCTACTTCAGTACTCCTTGCCCTTGGCAAAGAACTTAGCCTGAGAACAATAAAACATATTGTTGTAAAACAATAAAATGTGCCTAGTTTGCCAGTTTGCATATTTCTGTGCGGTTGCCCATAATAGGGGTAGCTATGGGCAGAGCTTGCAGCTTTGCCAGCCCTGTTGGCTTTGAACAAAAGTGTTTTGTTCCAGGCTATCCTACTGGGTGGGTTCCTGTGGGTATTTTGAGGAATACCAAGGAAAGAGATATTTGCTGTTTTGCTTTGTTTTGTTTTCTATTAACAACAAGTCTTGAATTAATTTACCGCACCCCGACCCCCTCTAAACAAAGGAAGAAAGCCTTTGGGAATCATTCTGAAAGAAGCTGGCAGCCGGAAGGAGGAAAACATTTGCCACAGCAGTTAGAACATATTTGTTTGACTGGGTTTACTTTTTATCATCCAGTCTGCATTTGACTTAGCTGTTGTGTTTGGTGGCACAGAGCTATATCTGTCCACACCCAGGTGGCCCTCCATCCCAGAGTCTCGGTCCCCCAGCACAGCATAAGCATTTATAGTAAGTGCCCAGAATACCTTGGCTGAGCTGTCAGAAAAAGTGAGCGGGTGCCAAGTGAGTTGCGACCACAAAATATTAGAAGGAACTTGTGATTCAGAGTGGGCTAAAAAAACAATCATATTTGACTGCTTCTGGAAAAAAATCAAGTTATTTTAATTTGTATTTTTCTGCTTTGCTAAAAATATCAGACTTCTGTCTTGTCTAAACTTTCACAGGGCATTACCCAAAAAATCATCATTGGCACTGAGCATTTTAAACCATCAATGTATTTATGTCATTCTGACCCTTGTGGTAGATTCTGGAAATCCATTCATCATTGCATCAGTTGGATTTAGCGTAGAGCCATGCAAGACGTATCTGCTTAATAGCTATTCGCAAAACAAATAAATTTGCAAAACATACCAGCAATATAAAAACTTTTTGAAATAAGTTAGGGCAGAGACAATTAAAGAGAATATTATGGACTAATAAAGAATCTTTTAGGAATGGCATAGCATGTGCAAATCATGTAATTTGTTCAGGTATCAGCATGAATACCCAAGCAAGTTTCATGCCTATGAATGTTGGGTCATCCATTCTTTCTTAATCATATTTTAGTTTTTCTATGAACAATCAAAAATGTCCAATTTGGGCTGGGATTGTGGCTTGGTGGTAGAGTCCTAGCCTAGCAAGTGTGAAGCACTAGGTTTGATCCTCAACACTGTATAAAAAATAAATAAAATAAAGGTATTGTGTCAATCTACCACTAAAAAGAAAAAAATTAGAGAGTCCAACTCTATTTTAAGAAAGATAGCTTTTTATTCTTTCTATCATCATAGAATGAAAATTTAATCTAAAAGTAAATAATAATTTTGAAAGAATGAAAATAAACATTGGTTCAGGTCTATATTCTAACTTTTTATTTTGTGTGTGTTTGTATTGCCTATAAATAAGTTGGTATGCAATGATTAAATAGCAAATTCTAAAGAATTAAAACACAGACTTATGTAATTACGCTTATTGTAGGTGTAAGAAATATTTGATGATAAACACCAGGAAAAATTTACAGGGTTTTATCACCCTCTTCTTCCCTCATTCCATTCCATTTCTTTCTTTTTTTTCTTTCCCTTTCTCCTTCTTTCTTTCCTTTTCTTTCTTATTGCAGGATTTATGGAGGACACATTAATCCTGAAGTTGTTCTTGTCTTATCAAAATTCATAAAATTCACGCCAGCATACAAAATCTTGCTTAAAATAATAGTATGTGAAGAGGTGATTCCCACTGCACTTGTGTAAGAATGTGCCTTCTCAGGTCCCCACATCTGCATAGATTTATGTAGTAGAAAGTAGAAAAGCAAACAACAATAAAAATCAACCTAGGGAAATGCCATAGTTGAAGAGCACTGGTAACCACAGACTGAAGGATCGAGAGCTCCCTATAATTAACACATTCAGACAGACATAGGAAAATGCCCAGTTACGATGACACAATGCAGAAGGTTGTCCAGTGTAAACCACA